TTGAGAAATAATGAATGTTGGAAATACAATGGTTGTCAACTAGAAATTGTAAATGAATTTAACTACCTAATACAACAAAAAATTGCAGATCAGGGTAGAAAAGCTTTGTTCCCAGTTATGAATGTATGTCGGAAACATTATTTCAATATTGAAACTCAATTATCAGTTTTTGATACGTATGTAAACAGCATTCTAAGCTCGGTTCTGAAATATTATAAAAAATCATTCTTTGTTTTGTAAACGACTGCTGGGCGTAAGAAAAAATACTTGTAATATTATGGTTTATTTAGAACGTGGGAGGTATCCATTGTCATTGGTAAGAAAGATAAGAATGATTAAATAATGGATTAAGTTAAAGAGGACGAATCGTATTTTGCAAGCATGTTATAAAGATATGTTAGAGAATAAGGTAAATGGGTTTTGAACATACAAATGATTTATATAGAATTACATATGGGAAACAGAAATAAACGATGATATGTGTTATAATGTTATTAGAGAAAGACAAGAATGCAAAGAAAAAGTAAGAACGTCTTCAAAGGGATATATCTATACATATTGAACGTAGTCTTAGAGTGTGTACTGTATGTAATTTAAATAATGTTGAAGACGAGTTTCATTTTATGTTGAAATGTCCATGTTATTAGGATTTGCGTGTTAAATTTTGAAAAATTACTATGTCAAAAACAAGTATGTTTAAAAGGATAAAATTATTTAATGTAAATAAGAATTTTTGGCCAAATATATAAAAGCGGCAATTGTAAGAAGAAACCAATTAATTTAACTGGTTACACTCTCCATACTGTTTGTACATTGCTGGTATTGTATTGTATTGTATTGTATTGTATGTATTGTATTGTATTGTACATATTGTATTGTATTGTAATGTATTGTATTGTATTGTGATGTGTTGTATTGTATTGTCTGTAAATATTGTAAATATATCTCACTTTTGAAATCGATGGGTCAAATGATTTAAGGTAATAAAGAACTTGAACCATACATTATGTACCTTTTCACGTCTGATCGGGGAATCGAACCCAGGACACATTAGGGAAAGTCGGGTGCGATATCTACTGCGCCACCCTCCCAGCAACATCTTTGCTTTATCGGATAGTGTCAACGGTTCCCGATTACATACTTGCCATCTGCCTTAAAAAGTCTAACAGAAAAGCTTCTAATTCATTAACACTCCGGTAACTCCCCTTTCTTCCGTTTTCTCTGCTGGTAGATGACCAGGTAAATTTCGTAGGTAGGTGTTGTCTAATCACTTACTCGCTTGGTATGTTTCTCCCAGTGCCTATTCTTTTTCCTTTTCTAACTCCTCCCTACGTCTATGTTTAGTGCTGTCGGACGGTGTGCCAGTACAACTGTTTCTCTGTCTCCCCCTACCTCTGACTTAAGTATCTCTTCTCTCTATTCTTATCCTCGGTGTATCTTCAACTTGTCGAAAGTGGTCATAAACCGTGAGAACTAGAACTTTCAGGTAGATGGAATATTATATATTTGATTGGCTCATGAATTCGGTATTTGTTTAAAAACTACGATATTGACGTTAACATTTTAAATGCCTTAAATTCTCAAATTCTATGATTTGATTTTAAGTATTGTATGAACTTTTGTCAATCTCCAAGTGAGAAAATATTTTGATATTTTTAGTGATTTATTTTTTCAATATAATTCAGCATTGTTTATATGGCACGATGATATGACGTGATGTAACAGGGACACCACTTCATAATCAGAAACATTGATTATGCCCGCTATGACGGCCGTCCCTGCAGGTAGGGCGTAAGAATTGTACCAGCTGCCCCCATTGCATGAGCGTAAGAGGCGACTAAATTCGGGATGTTATCTTTTTTCTTCTTTTTTCTTCTGAATGTCTCCCCTGACAATACCTCGCATTTAGCCATTAGTTGAGCGTTCGTCCCTGTGAGGAAGGCTTTGGGTTCTGTCCCCTGGCCGAGACATATCAGAGTCTGTAAAAATGGTACTTTCTACTCCCGCTTACCGCTCAGCAATTAAGGAGTGGGACGACTGGTTCGCTCGTTGTTAGTATACTGTCAGCCTGGGGTGTCCTGCTGGGTGTCGTCGGCAGTATGTTTCAGTGAGGTAGCACTATAAAGTCGGCATCAGTTCCGCGCTATCACAAGGAGACAAACACGAACATATCGCACCCTCCCAAAACACACACGCATACACTACACGCATGCATTTTGCACACATGGGAGGTCGTCCTTAAATGACCATAGCTGTTGATAGGACGTTAAACAATACTAAACCAAACCAAACCTATGACGGCCTTTCAGCAGACGAGTATAAAATCAGAAACAAGAGTTTTGTTTGTGTAATATATATATTAATAGATAGATTTTCCCCTACATCCTCATTGGTTGAATCATTATCACGTGGAGGTCGGTGATTTATGATAATGACTTACCGCGGTCTTACTATTTTCAGAAACAGCAGATCATTATTCACTTTATGATTTTAATTTTAATTGTAACGTCACAATGCTCTTTGCCAAATGCAGTTTTTTCCTCCTCACAATTTTCATACGGTCTGCATGTTTTTATGATTTAAACATTATTCAGTGTCTAATATATCAATTAAGGATTTTTTCGGTAAATATTTGGTTATATGGACCTTAAAGGTGACATTAACCTCGACGAACTCAAGGTTAATATCACTTTTTAGGTTTACATAACCATATATTTACCTTAATTAAAGATCTTAAATGAGAAATGTATAGTTTGGAAAGAAGAAGATTATGTATTTAGTTATATTTTTCTTTTTCTGTTTGTCTTTGGTTCAATTATTCAATTATAATCTTAGAAATACAAATAATGTCTTTAGTATTTAAGGTTAAGAGTACCACTGCATCAGTTATAGTCGCAAAAGAGAGTTCCAATCAGAGGTTTTTTTACCTAATGAAGTTTTTAAATTATTTGTAAACTTAATACGTAAGTAGAACTTAAGGTTTTCTTTGAGACAACAATGGACACCAAGTGTGTGTCCCTTTGTTTGAACACATCGTATAGACGTCATGTAAATACCACCATGTATGTGTTCATTTATGTGCACATTGCGATGATCATCTGCTTGCTTAAATATATAAAAGTGATTGTAAGCCTTTGTTTTTGTTTCACAATTATAACTATTACTATTATCCATATGTTCTAAAGCGCTTTAGAGTAATTTTACAAATTATATAGGGCGCTATATAAATGTTGTGTATTATTATTATATTATTATTATAGTCTTTAAGACAAAGATGTAATACATAAGTACTGTCTATGTGTCTATGACTGACTAATATAATATAAATGCCACTACTACAAAAACACCAGCTCTACACCACTGCCCCGTGAAGACGCTCACTTAGCTTCTCTGTACTACTGGAATAGTTGATCATAGAAACGAAGGCACACTGTTAGCTATTTGATTTGGTTTCCGGTTTTAAAAAACTGGGCTGAAACATGTCCTTTGACATAGAGTGTTCAATGTTCACCCAACGCGACTGGTAAAGGGTAGGAGCCCGCAAATTCTCCACGAGTAACATTTTATGAAATGTATTACAGGTATGTATTTCCCTACGGAGACTTTTATTAAATCTATGGCATTGATTTAATATTAGAAAATTCTAATTGGAAAATCTTTTTTACTTTATAGCATTTAATGTCTTCAAACATAATAAAAAGAAATTTTAATACCACTTAATGATTTACTGATGTTATAAGGAATTTAGATACATCATGGATACATATGCAAATAAAGCTTCGTCATTAGGACCAATACTGAATCAGCCTGAATTTATGTCAGTAATATACCAACACTTACCACGCATCACCCCCTTGATGACAGATTAGAGGCATACCGAATATTTCCACATTTTCACAAATGAGAATCAACGACAGAAAATCCACGTGTTACCCTCTAAGAGTTTTGTAGTCTTCAATCAGACACCGTTATTATTGATGACAGGTTCGTGATGGTTCAAAAACGATAATCACTTATTTTTAAGAGATTAAAGAGAGCTTGAAAGCTTAAGAATAATAGATATGATCGCTGCATTTTATGAACCTATTCATCAGCTGAAAACATCACTCTCCTTAAAACGCATTAATACTTTTTGTCATTAGAAGTTTATAAGCTAGGACTGACCATGGAATTTCGTTGTTGAAATCTATGTGAGAATGTCTATTACAATGTATATCCCTTTAACGTCGTCGTTATAAAACTCAAGGACGAATTATACCTTTCAATAATTGATGATACTATTGATGAAAGTGTTGTTGTTGTTTTGTTGTTGTTGTTGTTGATACAAGGTTACTACTCCTTGAAAATGAAAACCTGCTGGTAGAAACAAACACTACGTGTTTCACGAAATGTGCAAATTGACTGTATTTTTCAACGGCGAAAGATTTAGTTACAACGATCGCCAATTACACTTTTCATCTTTTATGTTTTGTCGCATAGTTATTTTTATTTTACATTTCGTTAACTTTCCTTTCCGCAGTAGTGACATACCTGTCTGTACGGAATGCAAGTAGCACAATGTACTAATTTCTTGGCGGTTATTCTTTGATTTGTTACATACTATCACCGTATCATTGACTTGTGGGTTTACGACGCATCAAGGTTTGTCACGTGTTCTACCCGTACCGTATATCAGTGTATACAACATGTGTATTTGTTAAAGCGTGTGCTTATGATAATTATCAAATGATAAAAAGACACTTAATACATATAATACATAAGTCCTTGCAAGTCAATAATAACTGACGAAACTTTCCATTGATTTTTAGCTCTCAGCTTCTTAGAACATCGTGCCTTGTTTCGCACTCAATCCTATCTTTGGGGGAAAACCAAATCATAGTCGTCGATTACGATGATGAAAGATTAACAATTGCTTCCCCTTTTTGAAACTAAAATGACCTCTTTAAGATAATACGCCTCCATTTAAAACAAGTTCGTCAAGAAATAAAGAGCTTTTTGTATTTTAAATTTGAACAATTTACAACGTTTTTAAAAGAAGAAAGCATTTTTTTCTAAATAACAACTAAAAATGCCTATTTTAGAACGGGAGCGTTGATGAAACACTTAGGAATGAGCAACAAAAGAGCAGCTTATTGATTGACAATAAATTGACTGATCATCCTGACATATACTCAAAGACTAAGTTAGGATTGTTTGAAGGTCAATGAAGACACTTTGTCACAAATAAATCGTCGTTTGAACGTTTTTATTGCATCATCAGCATTCATATTGTTCATTCATTACGCATGTCTCTATCTCGACGTCTCCCCCCTTGCAGTGGACGGGGTTTATACAGACACGCCTCCTCGTGGACCGTCCTACTCCACACGTCACACTACAGGAATCCCACGCCTCCCACTCCAAGTACCCTGAAAGCGAATACACATGTTAAAGTTTATATTGGAGAGACTGGAAGGCGATTTGGGGTCCACCTTGGTGAACACCGGAAAGATACAGAAATCCTTGAGTTGAGGGATATCGAAAACGTGAAGAAGACAGTGGTTGGCTTCTTTTATTATCAGAAGTGGAACAAAGTCAAACACTAAATAAAGAATCAAAAGTAGCAGAAATAAATAACAAAGGTTGAGAAATGAGAATTTAAAAATATGAAAAATTAAGCTAACATGGAACATGGACCAGATGATATCTCCATGAGGTGAAGATGACGCGGGTTAAATTGTGGAGCGAGGTGCTCTTGTTTCTGCTACGGTTTGTAATATATAAAGACTCACGCGTCTGGGTTAACACATATAGATTCACACTTTTTTGTGTATGAACTGAAAAAATTGTATGGATGTACATATCATCAACAAAGGGTTAAAACATAAGAAAATGACCGGCCATCACCTAATAGTGGCATACAACAGGGATGTCGCGAAATGCTGACTCACTATCATCAATTAAAAATGCAGTTAACCATAAACTAGTCAATGACTTGCATATTCTTAGTCCTACCCAATACAGAAGGGATCATACTAGCGATCTTATTAACTTGATTAATTACAAAGATAAATGCCTATATTCTGGTTATTGAACTTTTGATTACGGTAGTATTGCTTTACTGATGAGTTGAAAAGTAATACTCATGAATAAGAAAATATACCATATACATACTATGTGATCATCCGGATCGGATGTCGACCATGCACAGCATATTTCACCCCATGTGCAGTTGGAATCGATGTCTACTAGCTGTCCTGGTATTTCAAAATAACTTCTTTGAAGATTATTTAAAGATAGGAATTTGAGATTGTTCAAGTTGGGGACTCAGAAAAGTATGTATTTGCCTGTAAAAGAAAACTTTGTTATACTGTCACAAAGTTTGCGCGTGTATGTAAAATTTGGCGAGATGGCTTATGATACGAAGGGTATTTTATCGAGGCTAACTATACATCTCAAACAGACAATGGCCTAACCAACGAATACAACGCCGAAAATGGAGAATAGGTTGGGGAACGGTAAACAGGTTGCAAGTGTCACAATGGGCTCAACAGATCAACTATGCTTTCTCAGATGTCCACTAAGCACAAAACACAGAAGAACCCCACCCCCACCACAGTTATATAGTGGGTCTCTCATTAGTGTTTGAAAGGCCAATACAGTGGGATACAGCTCAGGAACCTTATTTCAGAAAGTTGCACATAGTCTGCTCGGAGAATCGTATCTCGTTGGTCGAAAATATTCATCTTGGTTGTGCCACACGTGTCTTAATCTGATGTAAAAGCAGGAGATTTTGTGTGGACTCACATCCGCAAAATGACCAAGTGTTATCTACCGCATACCATAACAACATACATGTATGACATTGTTTAATTTACATACCTACTATTGTTCTTTGTATGAACGCTATAATGTCTGAAAAACATTTCTGATGATCATCCGGATCATCCCCTCGGCGATGTCATGACGCATTTTCATTGGTTATGAAGTATGTATTATGGCCAACAAAACATAACACAGGTTGTGTTTTTAACATTTGTGAGGTCATAACAACATGCTTTCTGGACATATTTATGGAAATATGTCCAGACAGCCACGCCATTCATGGTAAATTTGCCAGAAAGCCAATGTTGTTATGACCTCATGAACGTTGAAAAAATAAATTCCATTTCTTAAAGAAATAGCATATTTACCAATGATATCAAGACAGCGACCATAAATATTCAATAATCTGCATCTTTACGAAACTCTTAGTTATAAGTAGGCATCGGTCTCGGATGCCATTACAAAGATTAACTGATTTATATTTTGAGTGATAACAGTTTAATATTTTTAAGGAAGCTAGCCGAATACCCAATGAAAAAGATCCGTTCGGTTGTCGCCTTACACACCGACAATCCCTAAGTAACACATTGTATATCATTTTCACAACACGCTTCAATAAAATCCTGACAAACATAATATTGCAAAACCACATTAGAAAAGTCCAAAGTGTGGGTCACACGTTCCACGGGAAATGAAGTTTTTTAGGACGGAGATGATCTACCGTAACCTACAGAATTAACAGCTATAAATATCACATTTGTGTGTCGACAGGTAATTTAATACTAAGTGATCGAACCTTGGTCATAATTATGTTCGAAATGTAATTATGGCATGTTAAAATATTAATCATGGCGCGTCTTTGTAATTTGCAATACAAAGGCAAGTAAGTATTTACTTTAAACTTTAAATGAGTAACAGTCATAACCTATTCATGTATTTTTGTTTAAACAGTCATTATAATATTCACTTGGGAAATAAAGTTAAATAGTAAGGATACACTCTAATTAGTACTACAGAATAAATCGCAATAAAATTGCATATACTGTATTGTCAGACACTGACTTTGTTCCATTTTTCTTAAAGAAATATCTGCTTTTCCACTTTTGATTTTAGAAATATGTGTCCCGACTAACGTTGCTCCAGTCTATTTTTTAAGATTTTTTTTACAAAATTATCAATTCTTTACCACCTGTCCTTTTCCTCTAGCTTGAAAGGAGTTGTTCTCACCAGAGTTCGGTTCACCGCCTTCCTCATAGACCGTTATATCCTGACTGTCTCGGGGGACTCTGTCCAAAACAACCCCCGACTGAGCGTCAAGAGGAATATCAGATAACTCAGCATCACTTTCTGTTTCCGGACCGCTATTCTTAGCATTACTTGAACTGGTGTCGTCATCAGCGTCTTCATCCTGTAATTCAGGAACATGTTGCTTGATCATTTGTCCTGTGCGATGACTAGTGGTGTATTTTTTGTTCATTAAAGATTTGTCCCGATCTACTAAACCAAAATTATTAGGAATGTCTTTTGTTTTATCTTGATTGGCGGGTTCTTGCAGAATTCTTTTATTTGGCAAACCCGCTTGTTGACGTTTCTTGACTGTCTTTTTATCGACATCACTTTTAACGCTTTCGTCGTCAGTGTCATCGTCATCAACAACATCGTCGAATATTTCATCATTTTCTTCTTCAAACGTGTCTAGACTTGAAGTATCTGTTTCTCTTTTAAGCCTGTCCTTCAGAAGGGGTAAACTCCAGTCCTCCGATGATATTGACAAATCGGTGTCATCTTCATTATCGTTGTCGTCATTGCTGTCCTTTTCAAGTTCATCAGTAAATGCTGAATCAGACAGCATATCTCTTTTAGCTCGAAAAGGCATATCGTCCTCTCCATGCAAATATGAACCAAGAATTTCAGAATACGAAGGTTTATCACCACCAATATCATCGAACATACTAGCTTCATCAGAGTCATCGGAGGAAATATCAGAATCACGTCGTTTTCGCTGCCTTAGTATCATGATGTGGCCATCTTCATCGTCATCGTCATCAAACAATGAGTCAGAGAAAAACGATTTCTCGTCATGAATGTTGTCCACTGTTTGTAGATCATACACTCCGTTTGTCCCCGGCGTTGATCTCCGGGGGTCATTTAACAGCTTTGAAAACTGTAAAATAATATTACAATCTTTGTTAATGTCAGCATGTATTGTAACATTTGATAAAATAAAAAACGATACTGTAAAATGATATCTTTATTTTCTCAAGGAAAGCTGATTACAATTCAAACATCTCATCAGACTGATTTTAACATTAAATTCGTATCTGTTCTGGGCTGGTTTTACAACAAAAAAAACTCAACTTTGAGACGGTTTCGGTCCTCCTAATAGGAATCTGGTGAAAGAAATCTAAAATGAAATAGCAACACTGAACTTGTATATGTAAAGAAGAACGACCATTTGACATGAAAGAGCGATCTAATCGTAGAAAAACTTGATTGAAAACATTTGAAAGGACTGTTGAATATAGTGATTTTTTTGTGATACTCTGCGAGCCAATCATTCGAAAACAAAATGTGGTATTTGCGCCTAAGATTCCAAAAACCAGAATTATTTCTTATCTTTGTTATCCTCACAAGAGGCCGCCTTAACACCTTGTTATATAAAGAATAGTATTAGAACAGTTTTATACGTGTACGTTTGAAAATAGATTGGAGCCACATTTATTGTCTAAATAGTAAACATTCTTGGATTCTCAAATTGGCCGACTACAATTAAATCGGTGCAGACAAAAATGCAATGTGAATTGTCGACCCTATCTTCTTACCAAGCTTATAACAACAACTGTAATGATTGTAATATTACAAAAGCCTCTCCTACAGGTTTGTGGGCAGTTGTCACCATACAAGATGCCATGGACTCATCGTATCAGGCGGTTGATAAAATATTGGGGACATCGAAGATAAAGAAATGTCACCTGTTTCCCAAACTCGGTATTCCTTTCTTTCTTGTTTCTTCCATTTTGCCCTTTTTGCCAAACGTATATAATAATAATAATGCGATCTGGTAAGATGTACTGGCCCCGTATCAAGACTATGACATCGTCATGTTATTGTACTTAAAAGTAGTCCTTGATTGGCCCCATTGTCAATAGACATCATCATCAATTGACCATTGTTACTATGAAGAACCAGGCGCGTAACAACCTATGTAGCAAAAACGCCCGGGCTTACACATCATTTTAATAATAAAAAAGCAACAAAGACAATATGATATAAAATATTAAAAAGCAAAATATTTGTAAAACAATAGGGGAAAATAATATTTTCTTGCTTTAAAAGGGCCATTGAAACTGATGCCAGAACACGGGAGAACGCGTCTCAGGCGTTCTAGAAAACAAAATTCTCCTGGTGGAGACCCCCAGACCCACATCGATGGGAAGGGGTAAGACCCCCTAGCTTTTGCTAATCTGTGACATTATATAGGCGTATTGAGAATTTCACATCATAGATACACGTAGTTAGATACATTCATTTTTCCCTGTCATGAACTGATAAAGTATGTTTTTAAGAGTAGTCTAAGGTCTATCTTCAGTAGGGCTCCTGGATATATGTGTATACACATATCTAAACATCGATATATGAGCTACCGTCATCTTATATTCTGAGAAATGTTGATGATATAAAAAGGGTTTGGGGGACACAACAGCAAAAAATCTGAAATTAATCTGTTCATGTTGGCTCCAACATTTTAAATATCCAGTTAATTTAGATTCATCAGGAAAGAGATATGACGCAACGGATATTTTCGAGGAATTCCAACAATCGACACATTTTTGCCGGGGAAAAAAAAGAGCTGTCTTTCGCATTTGAAATACATTTGAATTTTTGCGATGCTTTCCAATAACAAAGTGAATGAATCAACCAAAAAATATTGTCTGTAAAATAAATTAAACACTCAAAAATGTATCCAAAAAGCCACAAGATGGCACGACAGAGCTTCTAGATCTAAAATATAGATCCCCCCTCCCCCCCCAGAAAGGCTTCGCGCCTTANTTATCATTGGGCTTACACATTGAAAACTCGTTTGTTACGCCCCTGAGAACGGTTTACACATTATATAGTACATATTATGTTTAGTAGCGATATAAAAGGTATAGATATTGCGTGTGTATATGCGTATATATATACTGGTATCTAAAGCGAAAGTACAAAGTACAATGAATGTACCCTGTTACACACCTGTTCAAATAAGATTACAATTACTTATCAATAGTCAATTATCTGTGTACCCAATCGACACATATTTAGAAAATGTATTATACACAACCTAAATATTAGACTTTACTTTCAGTCAAAACAAATGTAAAAAGAAAAGAAGTGTTTATCAAGGAAGTTAACGTTGAAACAACGTACGAACAGGTTCACTTACCATTGCATGAATGCTAGTTGTCCTTGATATGTTTTAAGACCTCACCTTTCCATTTTGAGGTTGAATCGATTCATTCCAAAGATAGACATTGTAGTTAAGTAAATGTTGAACATTAGTTAAACGATTTACAATATGTGTGTGTAACTTAACTATTTATGAATTTATACACACTACGTAGATTTTTTATTTAATTTAATGTTTATCGTCTTTACTTTAACCGAAACAGACATACGTTGGTAGGTAAAGTGTACCAACCATTCCGACTACGTAAATGTAAGGCTCCCGCTTTAGTATTGATTGGTGTCATGTGAGTTGAGTTTGCATGATTTCCACAGGGACCACAAGCTACAACACTTGTCAACGTCACATAGATAGTGATCAATTATGTATAAGGTCGATTGCTGTATTTACCCGACTAAAATATACGCAGTGTTAAGGATCCCTGCCCAACAACAAGTAAACACTAGAGATTTCCATTGTAGTTGTGTTCATACATAAAGCTGTAATATGAGAGGGAAAATGCACGGCCAGACCGGGGTTGGAACCCGGGACCTTCCGAACTCTAGACAGACGCTCTACCAATTGAGCAACCTGGTCATCGACGATCGACCCAGTCCAACTCCGCTACACAGTAACCTCCCTTTACGTATATTTGGACATAGCTGTAATGAAACAGGCCACATAAACTACCGCTGATTAGGTAGCTTATTTGGTTAGAACGACTCTATTATGGTTGGATGCAAAGTGTTCAAATCCCTTTGTGGATCCCAACCACTCTCAAAACAATGTTGGTGATATTATTTGTTTATTTTTTATTTTATTTATTCATTTCTTATTTACATATTTCTTTCATAAAATGTCAAAAAGGTGGGGGTTTCTTTTCTTTCATGCAAATGTATGTTGTGGACGTTTAGTTCTTCGTTGAATATTACAATATCTTCCATCCTGTAGTATACATAAATATTTTTTCTATGGTGCCTACCTGAAAGTTGTATACAGGTATATGTACTACAAATACATATTATTTAACAAAACATGTCATTGTCGTCATTATGACATTTAGGTCAGTCATTACCACCAGTTACTACTGTAGTACCATGGACACAAAAGTAGTACATCAGACACAGGACCAGATTTAGTTCCCAAATGGTGTATGGCAGGCAGCAAGCCAAAGTTTCTCCCATCAGAGATAGCACATTCCCTTACCCTGACCAGGGGTATCCACACTTTTCCCGGTGTGAGATTAATATATTTTTTACCTTCGTTTGAGTAGAGCAGAAACAATGTCGAGTCGGAGACACTTCCTAGGGCAGGACACTTAAAATATTTCCTCGGCGGTTGATTTTTCTCTGTCCTACACCCCAAGTCGTGAATATAATTTTTCTCTCACTCAAATATCTAATTTGATATATTCTGTGATCTGCTATTGTTGACGAGACGTCAATGAAATATTGACGTGCCTGCATGCAATTATTTTCACAGATTATTTTGACTGGGTAATCAACTCGTCTTTACACTAGCTTTAGACAGAAAAAAATCGTTCACTGACTGTAAGAGTAGATTTCTCTGTCTTATGGGGAGAAATTCCTGTCTCACCCTTGAGTTGAATTGAGACGATTCCCCAGTTATAACAGTTGTATGATAAGACTCGTCACCATTCTTGTAACTTATTTACAGGTCAATAATATGGAGCTGTTTGACTCTAGCTCTATGAAATTACGCACAGAGTGGCATGAAATGGCACATATTCGTCCTCAGTGCTATTTTGAAATAAATGTGTTTGGCACACAGAGTGATGATTGTAGTATGAAATGGTACCGTTCTGTCTTCTGGACACTTTTAATATTTATGTTATTAGAGTTAAATGTACATTGGAATGTCGGTTTGATGTTTTGTGTATGAATCTTAGATTTCCATTGCCTATTAAAAGGGACTTCCCTCGTGAAGCAGGCTATACATGACTGGCGGGACGAGCTTAAGTGCTCTTTCCGAATATGGCGAGGACAGGGGGCTTGTTCACCTCACTATTCAATTCGTTCATGATTCATATTTTGACTGTAACATTAGTAGGTAAATGCATTGGTTGTAGAATCATACCATTTTATTCCGTCTTTGCGTATTGCAGAGTTATCTTCTCTTGATAACAGGTATTGATTGTTACGTCATTTGTTTATGAGAGTAACGTCATCAATTTTTGAGAAAACGACGTAATTTTCTCACACAAACCAATGACGTAACAATCAATGCCTGTTCTCAAAAGAAGATAACTCTGCAATACGCAAAGACGGAATAGCAAAATGTGTATACACCACTTGTTAGATGTTGTTGGACAAGGTGATGTCTGCATGCCATCGACAGGGAACAAACAACAAACAGCAAGAGAATACCTTAGTGTTAACAAACCCGTAACTCGAACGCGATACCGATAAATCTGGGGCAAAAGATATATGTAATGTAAAGATTTACATGGATACCCGTGATAAAAAAGGAAAATAGGACCAGGTGTTCCGGAATAGAATGTGTTTTCTGCTTCATCGACAACACCCGCCTTGTAAAAATGTAGGAGTCATTAACCATATGCAATCTCCAGTTTGAAATTTCAAAAACATTTAGAAATTGTTTAAAGATTCCTAGTAAATATAAGAGGCCCATTGAAATAGCCTAAAACTAGACAATGGTCCTTAGTAGAGTTTAGCCTTCTTTTTTACTTGCATGTACATTTCTCATACTAGAGGTCGAAGTGAGGTTGTTTGAAAGGAGTGGCAGGTGTCTGGAAATGGATTATCCACTCGTTTAAGACGTCGTTTTGTCTTTTCAGGTTTGCCTTTTTTTTACATTGACTTTAGAGTTTCAGTGAATTCCATGATCTAGTTGTGGAAATGTTTCCTTTCCTTTTATGTGTTTACATATGAAGATGTCGAGTTCTTACTTAAGTCGTTTTCTAGATGTGTTGCCCAGATTGCTGTTTGTAGGACTAAAATGTATAAACTTATTTGTGTGTGTGTGCCGGACTTATTGGCTCTGGTGCAGACAGCTCGTATTCCTGTGAACAAAAACAGAACGACTTTCTCAAGTTCTTGTTTTTGAAGCTCTAATTAATGATTGCTACCAATTGATTGGCCTTTCTAGCAGAGTACATCTTCTACGAGATGTTTATATTAACATCGTTTTCGTGTCTATACCATTTTGATTTCTGGGCTTCTATTGCGTTTTGGTTTCTATGGTTCGCGACAAGAAGCCAGTGTGACAGTTGCTGTTGTATTCTTCATCTTTTGAGCTTTCTCATCTGCAAATGCTGGAGAGTGGTATGACCTTTTATAAATATGATATTCTTGATTGCATCCTGACGAGCGCGCAGCCGAGTTGGGTGTAGCTACATTATTTTTTCCTACTGTAGTTGTCACGATTATTGGTTTTGTTTTGTTTAATATTGTTTAACGTCCTATCAACAGCTATGGTCATTTAAGGGCGGCCTCCCATGTGTGCAAGATGCATGTGTGTAGTGTATGTGTGTGCGTTTTGGGAGGCTGCGATATGTTCGTGTTTGTCTCCTTGTGATAGCGCGGAACTGATGCCGACTTTATAGTGCTACCTCACAGAAACATACTGCCGAAGACACCCAGCAGGACACCTCACCCGGTCACATTATACTGACAACGGGCGGACCAGTCGTCCCACTCATAAATTGCTGAGCGTTAAGCCGGAGTAGAAACTACCATTTTTACAGACTCTGGTATGTCTAGGCCAGGGGACAGAACCCAACGCCTTCTTCACAAGGGCGAACGCTCAACTAAAGGCCAAAAGTGAGGCATTGTCAAGAAAGACATTAGAAAAGATAATATCTCAAATATCTCCCTACCTGCAGGGACATGTCAAGATTTTGGCTTTCTGTTTGATTGACTTATTTATGAGATCAGACTTCTCTATCAACTGTGTTTATTATTTGTTTATGAATATTTTGGTCGCAAAAAGGCAAATGGCTGAGAAAGAGGATAATATCCCAAAATTTAACTTTCATATCACAGGGAAACTCCTTCAATTCTAATGGGAGACCCCCACACTGAACTCTACTTTATAATGTGATTTTTATTCCAATTCTACTGAAACTATTGATATTCCAAAAATCACTTGAATTCATAGTGGCAAAGAACACACAGTATAAGTATATAGTTTAATCGGTATGTTGATTGCATTTTACGCAGATATCGTCACAACACATGCTTGACCGTCCATCGCACCTTTTTACTTCTCTCTGGGGTTACCTGGTTTCCCAGAAGTTGTCTTACCACGGGTGTATAAAATAAAATTTATTTATTCACGAATGCAATTAATATTATTTTTTGTTGATTTTAAAAGTCGTCGAAATAGTATTGAAATTGTCAGGGAGTTACCATTAGCTCGGATACTTTCGTTGGCGACAAAAAGTCCAGAACAACGACTTTTCCAAAGACGGGAATTCGGAACATGGACGGAGTGAATAAATGATCACAATTTTTTTTTTTAATATGACGATACATGTAATGATACTAAATAAAAGAGCACAGTTGTCTTACGACATACTTATACCTGTCGCTTCTTACGGCGTCGACAGGCCACGCCCCCTTTTTCACAAGGTTCACCGGTCGCTTGTAACTCCCTGCGGTCGTGAATCACCAGGTCACTAGTGTCATCAACGTCCATCTCGCGTCCACTTGGTTCTGGTTTGTAAATATAATATTTAACCCCATAGTGATTTAATCTTTTAACATTACATAATTTTTGCATCTGCAGTTTAATTGTCATTATTTTTACATAATAATTGCGTTTATTAAATTGGTATAAATTGAAATAACACTTAAAGCGTTCTCCGAAAAACTATGCATAATGTTCGGTCACATACAAAATTCATACTGTTAATTCTGCATAGTTCGCGAGATTTTAACTCTCGCATTGATCAAAAAGGAATAACTGTGTCGATTAAAATATCACAATATGCACGCGCACCTATTTAGATGCCGTAGAAACAATTATAGTGGTCGTTGTTCTGTTTCAAATTCAAGTCTTTGCGGGCGTTTATAACGGTCGAAAGACTCAAGGTAATAAAGAACTTGAACTTGAACTTGGTACATACACAGAACTTGGTACATACACAGAACTTGGTACATACACAGAACTTGGTACATATGCAGAACTTGATAAATACACAGAACTTGGTACATACACAGAACTTGGAAAATACACAAAATCGAGTGATGCGCGGTACATTTTGTCGAATCTTCAAAATTTTGAATTCTGAGGGGTATATTTATGTAGTATGATTTAATTCTACTTATGATATAAATAATAAAAACGATAGCAGAGAATTTACCAATATTTTATTGTTTCTAATACATAATAATCTCTACGCAATACTCTTGTTTTGCAACGAAAGTATGCAAGTTCGAACTTCATTTTGATTTCATCAAACAAAATACTTTTCAAAATGTATAGGAATAGAAATTGAAATTAATAAGGGAATATTTTCACATCTAGATGCACACTTCGTCGTGTATTAAGCCATGTAATGTTAAAGATATAAATGACAAAATGACATGTACCTTGAAAGTTAGTTCCAAGTATTGGAAAGAGACATTTCATTTTTTTAGCATACATTGAATAGTTATTCAGTCCATGTCGCAATATAAATGACGATCATCTTCAGGTGGTTGTACCGAAACTTAAGAAGACTAGTAACTATATAGACATCAGATGCAAATGTATTGACAAGGAGAGACCAAATTCTCGCACAATAAACCCGGACAGTCATGTTTAATTGAATTCAGACAAATTATGCCATATTATTATGTGAAATGTATCCTTTTTTAATGACATAGTTGATATTAACTTTGATTTTTTTTTTATTAAAATAGAAAATCCAGAGAAATTTAACATAATGTTTACCCAATTTTGTCGTGGATTGAAGTTTTGGTTTGGAATGTATGACGTCAACATCAGACGGAGAGTTCTTTCTGCCTTTGAGTGGAACATTGTTGTTTCCTCCCTGTTCAGATTAAATAATTGAAACATTCATATACTTTTCATTGTTTGTTCATAGTTATATATAGATCAGTATGGTTTGGAACTTACCGGTAGGGAGGTAGGTGGGTACTGGGTGGGTAGGCGTAGTAGGTTTGTAGGTGGGTACTGGGTTGGTAGGTAGGGTTGGGAGGAAGGTGGTTACTGGGTTGGTAGGTAGGGTTGGGAGGGAGGTGGGTTCTGGGTGGGTAGGTGGGATAGGGAGATAGGTGGGTACTGGGTGGGTAGGGTTGGGAGGAAGGTGGGTACTGGGTGGGTAGGTTGGGAGGAGGGAGATATGTACCAACTTTAACTGTCTTTAGCATTATTGAAATATGTACCATATTAACATACTCCAAGATTAATATTACATTGCTAACACAGTTTTAAGTTCTGAGGATACAATCATCATGTTGTCAGAACGGAAACGTGGAGTTGAAAATGATAGTAAGGTAAGGTGGATAACTCTTGCAAAGTCTCTTGAACCAAGTCAGTTGGTTTAAAATAACAGTTTGGTGCAAACTAGTGATACTTTTCATGGAACTTCTAACTTCTTATCTGACGATAGGAAGTACAAATCAGATAAACTACAAACGTTCTGTGTATTACTAAAAACCAGACAGTTCTAATAAACCGGATTAATTCATTTCAAAACCAATAGGTCTACACGTCAATCTTCCAAACGAGTTTTTTCAGTATATAATACACTGAAAAAAACACATAGTAAGTCCCCCATCCCATTTGTTGCGTTTTGTTAGATCCAGAAAATCAACACACAAGTATTGAAAGGGACATATCAACAGATAAGGTCTTATGGTAAGTAAACTGTGTTATTCATTAGAACAATGTATAGTTAATGCAGAATAAATCAATACAGATTTAACTTTTTTGTTCAAACAAAACCCCGAAAAATATGTCCACAAGATCTTTTCAATTAAAAAAATAATAAAGGTCCATAAACAATAAGGAATTGATCAAAGAGATTTTCTTATACGAGTTTGTCTCCGTGAAGAAACGATTGATTTCCGGAATTAAACGTTGTGTAAATTGACGTTTTTCTTTTTTAATTTTATACCATATTTCGATATTTTTGATGACCTGTTAGAAATATGAGTCATAAAAGGACATTAATGTTTATGATAGTTAATAATAATAATAATAATAATAATAATAATAATAATAATTCGAGGTTCTTATAAACCGCGTTATCACAACCTAGTTCGTAGGTCGTCTCAAAGCGGTGCACAAATTATTATCCGTGGTTATAGGGCCTTTGCAACCAGCCAATATCTCTCTCAACTCCCTTGGGAGCATACAGCCATTTAGGCGCTCACAGCTAGAATTCATCAGTTCTAGAATTCACCAATTCTAGCACTGCCCAACCACGTCCTCATTTACAGTTGTGTAGACTGGAACAAGCGGAGTAAAGTATCTTGCTCAAAGATACAACAAAGTGCCGCGCCGTGACTCGAACCTGCAACCCTTCGGTCACGAGCCCGGCGTCCTACTACTAGACTATCGTGCCTCCTAAAATACTAGTGTCAGAAGTGGGATAATAGTTGTAAATTGGGTAAAATTCTTTCTAAATATTTGTGTGAAAGATATAAGTTTTTTTCACTTTTCCTCTTGAACACCTATCGAGTGAATACCTCCTTTACCATCACGGCGTCCTTTCGGTTGAATCGGTACTTTACATTAAAATCCTCTAGGAAGGAAATTTATTAATATTGAACTGTGATTCTAAATACAGTAATAAACAATGATTAAAGTTGATCTCCTTGTCCGAAAGAAAAAAATAATACATATGTACCTTGGCTATTGCCTTGCAGCAAGTCTCCTCTACCAAACACATAGCTAAAACACAGACTGCCACTACAGATGTCCCCTTCATGTTATCCGAAGACGAAATACCTGGAAATTAAGGGTATAAAGGTGGGGTTAAGATTTTACTCCAAATTATTATTATTTCTTGTTTTAAGGGTAAGCTCGTACAAACATGATCATTAAATTCAGATGTGGTTATTATCTATGTTACCATACTTGTTCAAAAAAGTAGAACGGGCGTATCGACAGGGTCAAACTGGGGGATAGTTCTTTATGAAGTTCAATGTAAATTAATGTGTATCATGTTAAAAAACACTTCTACTTGTAAAGTTTTTCGACAATAATTCACAATTGGAACGATGGGAATCCTTTCGGTTGTTTCACAGTACCAAAACAATAATGAAAAGTCCGTAGTATAATTAAACTTTTAAAAATATATAATCCTGAGCTGAAATAAAAAGCAGTGTTGCCTTTCGCCGAGTCCAAATTGAAATAAGCAATGCATGAATTTCTGTCTCATAATTGGTGTGGACAATTTGATTATATGTATATTATTATGTATCTGTTTAGTTTTATCATATCCAAATAGATGTGACTTTGATGCTCGAAAAATCAAGATATCACATTTCTCTATATATTTCACTTTTTTTAATAATTCTAGACTTTTCAATTCATTACAAAAGTCTCCAGTATAGGCCCCATTTTAAATTAATTGTTGGAGAAAAAAAATATGGAAATGTTTTCACATTTTACAGTGCTGAAAATTCCATCGCTGGGTAAATAGATATAAAATTTATCTATTTTTACAACAATTATGAAACAAGTTATTTCAATTTATTCTAATCACTCTTGTTGGTCCGGAAAACCAACGAGGTCTGGCAGGTGACGCCATATACCTTTTCACATCCGATCAGGAAATCAAACTCCGGCCGCCTTGGTGAAAGGCGAGCCCTTATCCACTGCACAACTTGACAATGCTGGGAGGAACAATATGATTCTCGAACCTCGAAAATATCCATGATTTTTTTCTCGAGAAGGCTAGATGTGATCCGATTCGCTACATTGTACAGACTAGTAAAAGGGAAGCAACTCTACTGTACCCGGTATAGGACAAAAAACTTATACCGATAAATACGAACGACCTTATGCGGAACTACGAGCGTTTTGCACGTCGTTATTTTGCAGGTATTTAACAGGCATATAATTACAGGGGCCTGGCGATTTATTAGAAAACCTTAAGATGAAGATACACAGCTACATGTGTAGGCTTGCAATCTGCGAAAGGTAACATTAAAATGGAAAACTTGAAGAAAAAAAATGTTTCCATTCATATACCAAACAAAAAAAATAAAAATGTACACCCGCCTCAGTGCTTTTTTTCAACAATAATGGTGAGGTGGAGTGCATCCCATTATTTTTCACAACTTTCACTGATGCTATCTAATGGGGAAAATACATCTGTTATTGTTGACCGAATATATCATTTCTAACATTTTATTATACAGCACTGACTGTTCCAAAATGTATTAGCGATTTTCAAGGATTTTCTCTTATATTTCATGCATCTCATTTTCATTGAATTTTTAAACTAATGAAACGAAATTGAAAAGTCTGAAAGAGATTTAACTGGTGTTTTATTTTGCAGTATTTTCATATTATCATTAGGAATGATTTGCAAGATATGCAGAGATATTCTAGCGAAAAAAACACTGCCATTATTTTGTAAGGCAAAGATTAAAATGGCCAAGCAAAATCGATTTCATCTGAATTACTTCTACCTCAAAATCAAGTCAACACAAATAGTTTTTTTTTCAAATTATTTTTTAGAAATGTATCTTTTACTTTTAGCCCCAGAAAATGCATGAAATCGAAATGTAGAAGAAAACTGTAGGAAACTTCCTGCAAGATGCTGTACGTAAAATTATTTTTTAAGTACACGGAACATATAAATCATCCATTGGTCCCGACATTATATGATGATTTGAAACTATTAAAAACAGCTAAGCTTATGTATATCAATCAATTAAGTTAGTCAACTAAGCAATCGATAGCAGATGCTGAAATAAAATTAAAATATAATTGTTCCGTACAGACAGTATGTTGCAATGATGTTGTGGGAAAATAAATGCTTCACCAAATGCTTCACCAAATTAATGCACACCAAAATTGGTCCGCTCACCTTTGATAAAACGTCAACTCTTCAGCACACCTCTTGAACCGGATATGACGTAAAACCGACGTAACGATTGACGTTCATATTGTTTCCCGCCAAAACATTAAACACGAGCTCGAGAAGGCCCAGCAGCACGAGATGAAAAGGATGGTTATAAGTGTCTTCCTCTGCATGGACTACATGTAGATTTTTTCTGACACTTTTCGCATATCATTTCGATGGCGTGTCAAAATAGATGAACTAAAAAATACGAACTTTGAGAAAATTACACGTTTTGAAAAAAAAATCAAAATGCGTTAAATTTTGAGACAGCTTTAATACGATTTAAAAGAAAAAACATCAAATCGCGTAAAAGACGTCCCAGATTTAACGCAATTCGATTTTGTTTCAAAACGTGTATTTTTTCCAAAATGATGTAGGGTACTTCGTTATGTTAGGAGAACTTTTTACTTCTATCGATCTTCATTTTCTCCATATGTACTAGTACTGTATACCTTATAACATGTACTTGCTTTTCAGTAGAAAATTCCCGAAGAAAAAGAAATGAAGGATTTGGGGTAGAGAGAGAGAGAGAGATAGGACATTTCATCTGAGCTCTGAAATGTTTTCAATTGGCAATTGTATACTTCCAGACAATATGAACAACAATTAAATTACCAGTAAACTGCAGAACAGCACTCTTTACCTGCAATCAATGTGTGACTTTGATTGCATTCTAAAACCAGTTCATTATTTAAGTTGACTTGATTAAACAAATAAAATCAGAAGTCAGACATTTCATCATCAATATAATTTACTGAAATAAACAGGAGCAGCCATCTACAAACAGTTTCAATGGTGTGAAACATTACCTATATGACGTCATAGGCATTATGACGACAATGATTCATTAATGAGTTCCCATTCATATTTTCAGTCATATGTTACTATATCCTTGATAAAAACTGACAAAATAATATATAGGAAATTAACCACGGTCACACAAATAACTTACTCAGTCAAATCATAATTGCAATGTAAATATTGTTTTATGAACGCAACTGCGTCAACTAATATTACGTATGTAGTTATGCTTGTAGTTATGCTTATGTCAGTGAAAACACAAACACCTAAAGGGGGTGTGCATAGGAAAAACTGTGATAATTTGTCATAACAATTTTTTGTCAACTTCATTTTTCAATATGTTTTCCATTTATAGATGCATTAATTTAGTTTAAACATAATGTTTGATGAAATTTCTAACATATCTAAACATATGTGTATATAATTCCACGGTCAACTGTGGATTTCCAAACAAAATGAAATCCAAATCTAACTCAACATTTAAAATATTGAAATCTTGTATTAGAAGATTCCTTTCATTTGTAAAAAGTTGACTTTCTCAAAACTTATGAACTACATTCTTAGATTGGTGTCCACCATTGCAAGCAGTGCTATCCATAAGGTTCGCTCTAAAGAAGTCATAAATTAGAGAAATACACTTAACCGGAGTTTTGTATGCAAAATATTCACCTCACTATCTTCGAATCTGCATGATATAAATAGACGAAGTTGAAGGTTTTGAATTAACACAAGAAGTGTTGTGATCGTGTTGAATTTTAGAAGGCTATCCAACTCTGGAGAGTAGAAAATAAGGGTAGAAAGTATACATACAGTGTAAAAAAAAGTTCGATTTATTTTCTTTTTCTTCGATTCGGAAAGATTCTAGACCACTTTGGTGATATAAGTGTTTTAAAATACGTGTATTGGAACGAATTCCAGTTATGAGTAGCTTCTCTTTGGATACTTTTCTAACTTTAAGCATGTTCAAATCAAGTACAACCATTCCACAACTCATACGCATTTCATATAATAAAACTGGTAAGAAACAAATGTCTTATAAAGTCTCCAAAACAGTTATTTTTATTAATAATAATAATTCGAGGTTCTTATATAGGTCGTCTCAAACCGGTTCACAAATTATTATCCGTGGTTATAGGGCCTTTACAACCAGCCAATATCTTTCTCAACTCACTGGGGAGCATACAGCCAGTGCTGCCATTTCGGCGCTCACAGCTAGAATTCAACAATATTCTAGCACTGCCCAACCACGTACTCATTTACAGCTGAGTAGACTGGAACAAGCGGAGTAACATATCTTGCTCAAAGATACAACACAGTGCCGTGCTGTGACTCCAACCCGAAACCCTTCGGTCACGAGCCCAGCGTCCTACCACTAGACTACCGTGCCTCCAAACTTCTAAACTAGACACTGTAAAGTGCACGACTTATAAAATAAACGTGTTTTTTTCTCTCAAATATTTAAAAACCTACATTTTAGACCAAGTATTCAAAATATCTAGGTCCCAATTAAAAATTTGTTGAATTTCAAAATAAGATAAAGATAACTTGATGCAGCCATCATCTGCAGAAAGTCGAAAGGTTCGATAAACAATACCCGCAATATCGTTACTATATATATTATGACAACAGTGGCCCAAGAATAGAGCCCAGAGGAACCCTTGCTCCGATTGAAATAGGAACATTTCAAAAGGACCTCTGATGTCTCTGAGATAAATAATTTTCTAACTACAAGTAAGTCGATATTGAAAACAGTATTTTATTCTAAAACAGCGTTAACAAGATTGTGTCACTGTTTTTACATATACATGAAAGGTGTTTTTCTTGTAGTTACGAAAATTTTGCACCCGATCCGAAAGACGTTATGTAAAAAAAATATTGCAATAAATTGTGAAACAGCTAATTCAATATGATCCCGCATCATGCTCCTTAACATTGTACGGTAAATGTAAAAAATATCCCTGTTAGTTAAATATGAGACAGTCTGTTTAAATACATATATAAATCAGACCAACACAGAAAGGAACGAAAATGAAATCTTGAGGTCCTCTTCGAGGTTGTAAACAAATTGTCATAGAACAAGAAAAAAACCGCCGTCATTTTAGCTCAATTAGTTCATGCGGTAGAATATCGGCAACTCCCAATACCGAAGATTATTGAAAGTGCCCACGTTTCGTTGCTTTTGTGCCAAGACACTTAATTATTAAAATGTTCATTTTATAACCATCAACTTTTTTTATTTGAAGAAAACAAGCTTTGAAGTTATAATTATTAACCTGCAACCGGTAAAATTTAAGTAAGAATACAAAAATACTTGTATTATATTTGCTTTTATCTACAAATAAAAAAATATGACTTTATTCGGCGTCATCTTTTAATTAGATTTTAAATCCAGTTCGAAAATTATACTGTGAAACACTTGTCTACTGGTATTTGGCTATTTTATTAAGATATCATTTTTCATCCCAATATAAAGTAATTTTCGGCGTCATTTCCATAGGACACAATGTTCAATTTGGCCGTAAAATATGGCAAATGAACTCATGTTTAAGTAAAATAAACGGATAAATATGATGATAATATAAACGTTAATTAACATAGAATAAGGTTACGTGAAATACTTATGATACATTATTGTGTATCATTCATCATTGTTTAGCATCGAATGACAAGTTTCTGAGCTATTGATATTAAAAAATAAATGAAACAAATTCATTAAGATTATTTTGTACCGAAAATTAGATTAAAAACATAACTGAAGACCATAACACTAACTTATACTGGGGATTAAACTTTAAAAAATGCAGACTTAATTATTACGACGTCAAGTGTCCCATCCTTATGGATGGGGCTAGTTTGACCTCATTTTGCAATACACAAGCCTTCGCACACCCTCTGCAATACACATAAGTATCTAGGTCAAGACAAAATGTAGTTCGCTATTCGCAAAATAACAATGTTGATCGAGTCTAAACTGTGTGATTGACATGGCACATGCTGATTTTATTAATGCGTTTATTATTAAATTGGGTGCTCAGTAGTGTTGTTACGCCGCATTTACAACGGAAACGTCAATATTACTCTTGCGTATGAATATACAAAGTCTGATGCACTATTTGTCTGAACTCTTCAATAATGGTAGACGAAGATGGGCTGAAATTGCACCAGCAACAGGCATATGTATGTTGACGGTGCTTGTGGACATTATTCGCTACAACTGGAGTTTTAAAAGTGGATTCGATGTAGGAACAACATTAATTTATCTACTCCGGCCATGAAAATGCCGTGGAGAGATCGAATCGGTGCGATATTTCTGTTGGGATTGCTCCATGGTAAGTGAAATTTCACCGCAGAATCCCGACTTCATATTCACGATCAATGATCGGTTGAGAAACCGTTGTAGATGTTTCTTGCCATGTTAACATTTTGTCAGTCATATCATCTCCAAGTGTTACCATAGATAATTAAACGTTATGTTTAGTAATTGTTTGGCGATTTCAACAATCGAAATGTGTTGAAAACCCGTGTAAACCCATTTGTTTACAAAATACACACGAAATTTATCAAGAGGGAAATTTGCATGGCAGAGGGCCCGTATGAAATATGGACCGTCTGTATACACGTGTGATGGTATGCTGACAGTAAAGCAGTTAGGTACAGTGTTTATGACAGCTAATTCACGCATCAGGTTATTATCAAACATTGTTGTCTTTATAAATGGAGTCACTTACACGTACATTCTCTATTGATAGGTACGGATTATTGGATATTTATGTTTTCTTTAAAATTGTAAAAAAAAAAAAGTTCCTGACTAAATATTAGAAAAACATGTTATCTTCTTTAAAACAACCTTACTGGATAGAACTGTCTATCAAATAAACTACTGTATAGAGCTACAATTAAGATATAAATATAACATGTATACTTTATCAGGTCCATTACACTCTGCTGATTGAGCTATATAGCTGTAAAGACCTATAATAGCTCTATTGACCTATCTAAATAGGTCTTTTGAGCTATTTTCAAGTGATTTTCTTTTGTAAGGAAAACGAAACAAAGTCGCTTTTAAAAGAAGATTGTATCATTAGGTTGATAACAAAAGACATTAAATATAAGTATTCTTTCTAAAAATTAATGATGTAAAAAAATGGAAATTTTACATTTATGAAAAATGAAAATAAACATCTAACTGTATGCTCTTTGTAGTCAACATTACCATAAACCTTATTGTTTTATGCGACTTTGCTTTAATTTAATGAAATTTGAAACCTGAGAAAATATAGCTCAATACAGCTATAATTTATAGGTGTATATAGCTATATAGGTCTTTATAGCTATATAGCTCAATCAGCAGAGTGTACTGGACCTGTTTATTGTTTAACAAAGATATATATATATATGTACACTACAGTATATCTGTTGTCTTGTTTTCTAATGTACACAGATGTTATCACCATGGACCAAAAAAGTACTAGAAAAAACATAGATTTATCAGTTTAACCATATATGTTTTAGCTAAATGGGTATGTTCTAGTTCATGCAGAACACTTTGTAAAGGTTGTATGTAATCCTTATTTTTTTGCATTATCAATTCATGGTTTTTGCATGACTTGGAATTGATACTATTTAATTTCATATGATAAGGAATTATTTATTTAAAGATAAAAGGGTATACATGAAGAAATCTTCATTTTATGATCTTTAATCGATGACTTGTCAGAGGCTTTGAAATAGACAATAGATGGTACAATGATTGATAGCTAGTCTAGATGATCCATCATTCGTGGTTCAAATAAGACTGTATGGTAATGACACCTAGGTGACTGTCATTATAAAGACTGGATGTAATGATTGATAAATTAGCAAAAACGTCATCATAGTTAAGAGATAGGGAGTGAAGGTATTTTTTTCATATCATTATCATAATAATTGTGTCTTCCTTTCGAGTGAACAGACATTGTATAAGTAATGGGTCTTCTTCACCTGCGGTGCACTTCTACATGCAGGTGATGCACTGACCCTCACTTCTAGGTCAAAGGTCAGATAAGTTCAATGAAAATGAATAGGTGAGACATAGTTTTGTTGACAATTTTTTTTTATACATGTTGCTTAATTAAAAAAATAATAAAAAAATATAAATAATTTAAATGTACAGGCCATTATCACATATGATTAATGATATGTGCATTATTATACTATACAGACACTGAACAAATATATAGATATTTCTATTTTATCTTACAATGACATGTTGATCATCGTTGTCTGAGGCTACCAAGGACTGTCGACCTGCTGAATGCACTGCATCTAATCTGGATGTTCATAGTCTGCTGAAGTTGATAGATGTCAATAAAACACCAAAAAAATGTAAATTACTGTTTGTGCAAAACGTTTTAACATAATTTTATAGCATTCCAAACTTTGAATCTGGCAAAGTAATGAAACATTCCAAACCTTTAATCTTATCAGAGAAACTGTTTTGATTGTTTGTTTGTATCCAGCTGGTTCTAAAGTTGGCATGTTGACTTGTTGGTCTACATGTATATTGTATATATATATAGTACATACAGGTATCAATTTTATTATGTGAACCTAGACTGGGTCAGTTACTACTGACCAGGTCACTCAGTTGTTGGGTGTTTGTGGACACAGACATAAATTGGTTATCATTGTTAACACAAATATGAATTTCCTACATTTATGAAATGATTGATCCTGGCAAATTATCACCTTCAGAGTTTTATGTTTACCTTAGGAGCCACTTTCTTGTTAAGTACTGATAAGATTAAGAATAATATTTTCTTACGATATCAGAAAGATATTGCGACTTGGTAGGTATGCTGTTTGTAAATATCTCGAGTTTGTCGAGGAATAAACTGATACCATGTCGTCAAGTGCTACTAGTGAATACATGTACTGTAGCTGATTGAGAAAAAAAGACACAGAGGAAATTTCATTAAAAGGCCATCACTTCCAACTTCTATACCTTGTCAGTTTGGGCTCAGTGTTGTGTGGAAAATTTTAAAAAGATAAATTTCCTTTTGAGTGTAGGCTATTATTTACACATAGTATACAAAAGAGATGGTTACATGACTTTGATCATTAGCCAACAGTTAGAAGGTCTAGGCTGTGTATAGTTGTACACCTGTATGCTGAAGAATTCTTTTATCCTACCTGTCATTATCATGTAGGACACACATCAGAATCAGGTGTGTTTCAAAAAACTGAAGTTACGGAAGGGCGCAGACAGTAATTGAACGGCTTTTTTTCTACTGATGTATCCTTTTAAGTTTTCCAGAAAAAAAATCAAAAAGAAAATTGTTATTCCAAAATGTTAAAGAGCATCAGGGAATGCATGCTTTTTTAGTAACTCTACCTACCAAGAATCATTATGCCTGCTCTACCCATCATCTTTGTACATGTGTACCATTTTAAGCAAGCACTTTTAAAGTCATGCTATCTCCCCCATATACAGCTGTTAAGGGGAACTCTCTTATTTTTTTCAATGACTATAACTGAGGCAGTGTTACATGTACCTCTAACTTTATTAATAATAATCTACTGTTTTCTTATTTCAAAGTAGGTACATGTATTTCAATATATTTATTTTTATACAATTTTAAGTGTTCCACTTAATTGTTTCCCCAACAAATATCTATGTTGTTTCCTATATTAAAACATACATATTGTTAATTTATTAATGGTACCATCTTGCTGTAAGCAATGTAAAATTACACGGAGCCATTCAGTTTTTCTCACACACACATGAACTAGATTTTATACTTATTTCTTGGCTAGTATTTGGTCTTGCTTTTTTTCCAGATTTTTCAGTTTAAAATGTTTGATGAATATTCTTTTAGTGGTAGTAGTGAACACTAGCTGTTTTAGTTTAACTTGAAGGTGTGAGGAATACTGTTTAGTGTGAGGAACAGCTTAGTTGTAGGAGGAATAAGACTGGATAAAATTTAGCATGACATAGGGTGTGTGTAAGACTGACTAAAATTAAGCATGCCATAGCTAGAGTGTGTGTATACGTAAGACTGGCTAAAAGTTAGCATGACAAACAGGGTGTGTGTTAGATTAGCTAGAATTAAGCATGGCATAGGGTGTGTAAGACTTGCTAAAATTTAGCATGACATAGCTAGGGTGCGTATAAGACTGGCTAAAATTGAGCATTATATATAGGGTGTGTGTAAGACTTGCTAAAATTTAGCATGACTTAGCTAGTGTGTGTGTGTAAGACTGGCTAAAATTTAGCATTATATATAGGGTGTGTAAGACTGGCTAAAATTAAGCATGGCATAGGGTGTGTAAGACTGGCTAAAAGTTAGCATGACATAGCTAGTGTGTGTGTAAGACTGGCTAAAATTTAGCATTATATATAGGGTATGTGTAAGACTGGCTAAAATTTAGCATGACATAGCTAGTGTGTGTGTAAGACTGGCTAAAATTTAGCATTATATATAGGGTGTGTGTAAAGAGTGGCTCACATTTAGTATAACATAGCTAGGGTGTGTGTAAGACTGGCTAAAATTTAGCATGACATAGCTAGGGTATGTGTAAGACTTGCTAAAATTTAGCATGACATAGCTTGGGTGTAAGACTGGCTAAAATTTAGCATGACATAGCTAGGGTGTTTGTAAGACTGGCTAAAATTTAGCATTATATATAGGGTGTGTGTAAAGAGTGGCTAAAATTTAGCTTGAAATAGCTTAGGGTGTGTGAACACAGTGGTCATGTATCTACAATAGAACTCTAGATCTATGTTATGTAATATAAATGTTCGCAGCCTGGCAGCTGTGACTACGTAACTGATACTGTTGATCTGACTAATATATATATATGTAGATAGCTCCGATGACAAACCTGCATTAAACTGATTTAATGCTAATTTGATCAATTACCTACAACACAATGTAAAATATTCATCGACTGCATGATGGAACAGGTTGAAAAATGTACCATACAAATTCAAAACCTAGGAAAAAATGTAATTTTTCACCTTTACCCAGAATAGTATAATATGCAGTAATTCCTGGTAATTAGGCCAAACACAATTTTATGTCTTTATAATCCCTGGAAAAAATCCTCCTTACTTCAAACATACTTTTAATTTTATAAGTAAAACTCCGAAAATTAGGTTTGATTTGATGCAGTTAGAAAAAGTTATTCATTAAGAAAAATCCACTTCACCTATATTATAAAAAAAACCTCAGAAAATTAGGTTTGGTCTGATCCAGTTTGAAGAGTCATTCATTTAGATTCATTAATGTGAACATGTATTCCAAAAATATTTATATTTAGTCGAAACCTTGAAAATGGAATACCTGGTATACATACAAGGTAACAAATTACATACATTCATTGTCATTCAATAACTTATCAATGTTGTTTTATGATATTGACTACTATGACTGCCTACTTAGTACTGATATTTAAAGCTCTAAATTCAGATTAGGAAGTTTGTAAATTGTCATGTTTTCCTTATAATTACATACCATTATCTGAAAGAATGTTGATCCTGAGTTTGATTTTTTTTAATGATTTGTCGATACAAAATACTGTCAATACAGAAATAATAAGTAGAACCTGTGGACCTGTACACTTGGGGACATATATCTGTAAAATAAAATGTCAATTTGTATGCCGCCCCAAATAATGCTTGTCGTCAATGATCCAAACCAAAGTGGATTCACTCATGAATACATGCAAGTTCTTGAATCTGATCTTTGATAGCTGGGATTCACAGCATTAAATATGTAAACCAATATATACGTTAAATAACGTTTATCCATGCAGAAAAAAATAGTGGTTTAAGGAGACTTAAGTTCTGACTGTGTGGAACATCGTTGAAATGAAATTGTAGTTTTTCAATATCACACCTGAACTGGGATGATCTTTACACCCCAGTACACACATATTCCTGTACCACCACCCATATACATCACTGCATAGGCCTGTTCTGTTGAATATTGTATCAAGAACAATATCACCATCTTGGTGTCTATGGTTATTTTATTGTGTTGGTCTATAACCTGCAGTGGTGTAGTATACATGTATGCATAGCATACACTAAAGATATTTTTTTCAATCATATATTTTTATTACTGTAATTTCTTTTTTTTAAAGATTTATATGGACCGTCTGTATCACTTATAAAAAAAGGATCTATAGGTTAAAAACAAATCTTTAAAAATTTTACTCTGATAAAATAGTGTTGTTATGTCAATACACATTGAAAAATCTCAAAAGTTTGTTTCTAGGGCCTCGTAGAATTGTGTTTTTTCCACCTATGGGAACTCCTCCAATACCCTCCCCATCCTTCGGCGCTACGCGACCCCCTGTAAGCATACACTACGAAAAATGATTTGCTATGCCACTGACCTGTTTTTGTAAATGCTCTCTTTGCATACTCTTATCATCTTTAGTGCAAGGCCTGTAGATCTATGTAGATACGACAGCATCCAATATAAAATAAACGTAGCTCGCATAAAAAAATGTTCTTATTTTACATGAGAATAGTTGATTGAGTGAAATGAAGCTTTTCAAATTATGAATAAATTTATATAATATACATTAATATACCTTGAATTGACTACTTAAATATATATTAAACAGTTAATATACCTACAGATTGTAAAATGAAACATAATGATATTCTAATGCATTATTTGTATTTTATAGCAAGATTCACAGACTAGTTCTGTTATTATGTCAGTGGAAACTTACATGCATGAATTTAAATTATACATTCATTCAATATAGTTATTCATAGGTTTATTTCCCAAGAAAACAGATTTTAAACTTCTCTTTGACATAAGCTCCCAGTGGGTGAGCCAATAAAAAGGCATATGGCACATGTGTTGGAGGTGTAGAGGAGTTGTACCTTATGAATTATTTATCACAGGAAAATATTATCCTGTGTCGCTGTGGCAATCATTTATTCACACTGTCTGTGTACATCAAAGACACTACAGGGCCCATTCACTATAATACACCATCNCCAACGATCCCCCACCAATTTCTCCATCGCCATAAGGCTGTCAAGTCGCTGATGTCTCTGTCTGCTTGTTATTGACAGCCAATGTATGGATGCATTTAAATTCACGCACACCTGATATCATTTAAAATGCATTTATCTTTCATTCTTTCCTAATTAAACTTGAATCATAAAAATGTTCCCGGCCTACTCCATCTCTGTCAGGATGATGTGTACCCTGTCACTACTGTGTCTCAGGAACTATCGACGGCCAATCATCACTCTAGGATGTATGAATTGCTAATTTGAACTTGCAGACATGATTGAAAACGTATATATATATACAATTGTATATATGATATCTTTCACTTTGTTCCCCAATTAAATTCAAATGAGTAATCACGTCATGAACATTTTCCCTCTCTTTTTCCTGTCATGTGTCTGATTTGGCCGAACGTCTCTCTAAACTGGAAGAGAACAACAAAATTATACATATCTATTTGTACGGTGATTTATGAAATGTGTATCTCTTTAAAGTTCTTCTGGTCTGTGAAATTTTAATAAGTTTGTATCTGGAATTAAGAGACCTGTATATCCCAGGCTAAAAAAGGTACATTGAGACATGCCTATTTCATGCCTAAAAGGTGCCTAAAATGTACCTCTACTTCTGGGGTATTTTTAAAGTATACCTCAAATGTGCCCCATTTGGACTCAAATTTTATCAATGTGTCTCAAACGTGCCCCATTTGGACTCTACTTTTATAAATGTGCCTCAAATGTGCCCCATTTGGACTTAGGTCTCTTCCACATGCCTCAAATGTGCCCCGTTTGGACTCATATTTTATCAATGTGCCTCAAATGTGCCCCATTTTTTTCCCTGGGTATGCTCACAGCAGTGTACTTTAAAACACAGCTAGAGTCTGGGATATGGAACAGTGTTTTTATATGTCCCCAGAAATGGAGCATTATATGATTATGCTGTCTGTCCGTTTATATAAAAAAAAATCCCAATAGTAAACGAGTTAAGATTGAATAACAAAAATGAAAGACAAGTTCTTTTATTCCTAGCCAGTGAAGGAGAAGATCAGTTGTACAAAAAATAGTTCAGTATTCCTGAGTAGGGTATGAAAACTTCTGTTTGTTTTCTTGTATTATTTCAATCTTTGGTACACATGCTACAAGAGCGCATCAAATTGTGATACAGGTATAATATAAAGGTAACATATCATCTAAACAGATTTTACAGGTGAGGGATCCTATACACTAAAACCTTGTTATACTGCCATCATTTGTTGAGAGAACTGTTGGCATTATAAAGGGGTTTGGCAATAAATTGAGGGAAATAAGAGGAAAAAGAGAAAAAAAGACATTGAAATATGTTGGTGGACAGCAAGATGGCAAATGAAATGAGGGGCATTATATAGAGGTTTTTGTATACAATCTATTACAGTTATAAGCACTTTGATTTGTTCACATTATGGTCAAATTATGGAATCATGGTGCCATTCTTTTTACCTCCTTTCTGCGTTTCGCTCTGGAAAACCATGCACTTCATAAAGTAGTATTATTATTTTACCTCACTTTCAGATTCTTGCAGGTTGACTCACTAGTCCATGTTTTTTTGATAAAATGATTTCCAATTTCCTGTATTTAGTTGTTAATCTTGAACTCCGACTCGATGGACTGGCGTTTGGAATCAATGACTACTGATGTTCTGGCTATGACTCAAAGAGGCTCTCTCAAAACATTTGTGATAATTAATATGGATTTATCGACAAAATCACACTCTGTAAAGTACAGTATGCCCATTTCAAACTCATTAGTACTAATCGGAGGTGAGGTGTGGGAATAGGTTCGGAGGCTGGTGTTGAATCAATTCCATGTAGTTGGATCATGTTAGAGTTGTCTGATCTTGAACTAGTGATAAAATCGAGGTCGGCATGATCGGATCATATATATCAGGAGGCAAGAAGGCCACATTTACTGACAAAATGTAATAACTGAAATTAATGGTCATTAATTATATGAATAAAACCGGTGAATCAACAGGCTTGGATTGGATAACATCTGGCCTCGAATGATGGGCGGACAGATAAGGAGAGAAATAAAAATATATCTGTTTGATGTCCAGATCCGGTAACATAATACAGTCATATTGCTAATTAAAATGACCAGTAATCAATTAGGCAATATTTTCTTGGTCAGATTACACAATTCATGCTTCAGGTATATTGTAAGCCACTTTACGTTTGCGAGAAATCTTTTTTCACGCTAATGCATGAAAAGACTCCATTTTGTATTAGAAATTTTCATGTATATTGTACTGAAACATAAATAGCATGGATCCTCACAATTGTGAATTTCGAATTCACATATGAAACATACAGTTATAGTTTGCAAAATAGATAGATATGAAAAGAAAGTGATTAACAATAACCATGATGGATATATTGAGCCGATGACTTATTTTCCATTAGTTTTATAAAAGTAAAAAGGGAAGGGAAATCCTCTGTAGTTGTATATATATATATATAATTACCTTCAACATACAAGCTTTGCAAAATTACACATTTTGTCCTAAAAGTATCTCTTAAAATGACGACAAATGTTACTATGTTTGTCTTTCATATTGAATTTTTGTTGTAATCTGATCGTTTTTTATGATGTCAAATTAGGTGTTACGGGTACTTGTCTTCCAGTACTATACTGGATGTGACTTGATGTTCACACTTTATCAGGCGGATTTTTTTTCCGTATTCAGTTTTTGTCCACGTGTTTGCGATGAGAAAATTGTGCTCACGAACCCTGAAAACACATTGTGATAATCTATAATTCCACTTTAATTTTTCGATTGTTTGGGTTTCATAATTGTTTTGTTTCTTGAGTTTTTGCCAAGACTTATCATTACGTGCAATGGCGGGTTGTTGATTGTAGATAGATCTAAGTTTAAATCTTTAACATGATATGACAATTGTTGTTTCCATTACAGGGCTAGCGGAAAGTGTGGAGATTGAGTTTGACAGTCCAGTGGATGGCTTTTTCCTGAAGTCCGTCTACCACAAGAACGAGCCATGGGACCCGCTAGTGAAGAAAGAAAACTTTGTTATTACACGTCCAGCAGAAAACTACAACCTCAAGGCAAACAGTGGGCCCTTCGAGGTACACCAGGTCATACAGGACGATCTGGTTCACACATTACTGGACACGCACTCAATGAGCAAGCCATCGCTTGTACATCATGACGTTGTGTTCAATCTGGACGTCAGTGCACACATTATTTCCGAAACACTTTCACCAAAATGGCCGAAACTACAGGTCTTAATTCATGCTAGTCCTCCTACAAGTTTAAAACCAAGAGGTAGAGGTAAGGTGAAATCTTCCACCTCCTCAAAGGCAGGATTTCGTACGACGCCGCGTATGTGGTGCGGGCATGTGTACGCGCAGCTCAACAACCAAGAGCTTTCGTCATTATGTGTTCTAAGCAACAAAGACAATGCTTGTGTGGCCAGTTTAGTTATCCCGGAGAATTGGTTTCACAGTGATGACATCACGGGCGTACCGTTGATGTATGTGTCATACACCTTCTCGCACGCCGACCAAAACCAGGAATGCGCCAGTGCCTCCAATTCCATAGTTCCTGGGCGATCATTTGAAAATTCATTGACGAACAAGCGGAAATATATTATGTCATTGTCTTTAGCTCATAGAGATAATGAATTTGAAGTGAAAAAAGATCAACATATTCTAATACACGTGCCAAAGGAATCCTTTACACCATCGTCTGTGTTCGAAATACCTGTGAAGTTGGAGGCTAACTCAGATCTTCAGGTGTTTGTTATGAGGTAGGTAAAAGATACAGTAGGAAAAGTTATCTCCTAGTAGAGAACTGGGTATATATCTCATTTAGACGAAGAAGGTATCCTGTCTCTTACAGGTGAGATTGATATTTCATGTAGTTGTAGTGAGGATGGTATCTGATTACAGGTGAGCAGGGTATTATTGCCTATCGGCAAGGAATGTATCTCATACAGGTGAAAAAATTTCACATGTGACATAACTCATACAGGTAAAAGAGGCTCATAAACATATGAGATAAGTATCTCATACAGGTGAGATAAGTATCTCATACAGGTGAGATAAGTATCTCATACAGGTGATATAATTATCTCATACAGGTGATATAGATGTGTCATACAGTGATTGTGAGGGTGAAATCTCTTATAGGTGAGGAATTAATACTAAACATGTATGTCATACAGGTAAAGGTACTATGTACCATACAGGTGAATGCGATATACCACTTATGCATCTCATACAGGTAAGAAAGGTTTTACCTTCAGTGAACAAGTGGAAAATATGTTGCATACGGGTCTATATATATATGTATGATGCTTCGAGAGGTATTTTACACACAACCCATGGCCAGGTTAATTTCAGATGTCATTCCATTGGTAAATTGTCTATTTGCATCAAAATGCCTCCAGTTAAGAAATCTATAATTACTCGTTTCCACCTGAGGAAAAAAAAGGAAACAAAAAAAGAAAAGAACTAACTCTTGACATCGATACGTTAAATTGATTTACAAAAAACAAAGTTAGATTCCTAAATTACACTGATTCAGATTTTGAATCAATTTATAAGTCTGATTAATTAAAATAAGAATCGTGCATCAACTGGTCGAAGGATTTAATTAGAAAGGCTGTGGTTTTGAGTTTCAAACAAACATCAGAAGGGAGTTGTGCCTGCCGGTGTATTGATCGGGCTGTGCTGCACAAGCTGTGTGTGTGTGCAGCTTGCACGTTTGGTGGCATCGGTAGGAAGAGTTAATGCTGGATTGTTTGTGGCACGTCGCTCTCCTTTACAGTGCTACTTCGGTTTGGGAAACATGCATCTGATAACCGGTGCATATATAGCTAATCAATAGCCCGTGTAGACATGGCAGGGGCAACAACTCCAGGTCTGTAATTTGCTGATGTCGGCACTTTATACAAAATATGGAAAAAAAATGAACTTAAAATGATTGCTATCAGTGATAGTGCTTGCCATTTTAAAAGAGCAGCCTCCAACGAATGATTCATTTGGTTCCACATACGAATATGAAACAAAATTGTAAAAGTAGCTTTGGTGTCATTTCAATCTTTATTGTGAACATATTATATGTACACCAAAAAATGCAAGGTCCCAGTTTCATGAACATTCCTAAACTTTGTGAAAATCCAGATCTTTAGATTTCAAATGGTTAGAACCAGTCATATAGAAATTCACACTAATGGAAATGGCTGTCTTTAGCTAGCACTAGCTATGTACACTCAGTAGTAACTGTGAATGACTAGCACTTGTAATCTATATATATATGTATAGCCATTTGTTCTGTGAATGGCTAGCACAAGCTATATATATATACATGTATAACCATTTGTTCTGTGAATGGCTAGCACAAGCTATTTGTATCTAGGTATAGTGAGGGACAGACTAGTTAGTGAACAGTGCTTTCCTGTACACTACCACTCGTATGCCCACACTCAAATGTCAGCATGTCCCATGGGAAGAACTTCCTGGAAACCTGCCCAGTCACATTATTTATTGGGAAAGGTTTCTACAAGATCAGAGATAGGCAACGTTTACCTTGTATGTTTATATTATATAGCTATATAACATCGCAGGTCTACTGTCACTGCAGTACAGACTTGAGGCAATGGGTAGCTGTACACGTAGGTCAACATGCTGAGTTTTCTATATTGGATCATGGGTTCAAATTTTTGTGTGTAAATTAACCAGTGTTTGACAACCAGAATGATATCACATTGATTATTGTGGAAAATTAAAATAATTCATTAATATATTTGTCAGAAATGATTTTCAGGCAGACATACCGGGTACTGAATTGATTAAAGAAGAAATATTCAATGAGCAACTAAATTATTTCCATGTTGTCTTATTTCAGTTTCATTTCGTAAGTTTCATAGATCAGTCTTTTGAAAAAGTAGTGTGAAACGTCGCTGAGTCATGTTGTTAGCCAGTTAAGGCTTATGTAAAATTTACAGAGTTATGTCTTGGAGTTAATTGGTCATATAATTTCTGTTAATCAGTTATACATACAATTTATATAGATAGGGATTCACCCTGACATTGACACTGTGAAATTAACCAATTAGTTAAATTAATATCAAATGTATTCCTGGACCCTGAGGTCAATTTTACTATCAATTTCAAAATTGTTTTAAACATTAATGTTAAAATACATGCAGGGGGAGGTACTGAAAACTAAAGATTTTAGGAAAGTTATGTTTTAAAATCAAAAAGGTAAAACAACTAGAAATCAGAAAAATAGGATTTAGGTAAATTATTTATGGATCATGAAAATATATCTATGCACTAATTATAAATGACCACAAAAATATGCAACCGTGTGGGAAAAAGTTGGTAAATTTGATCAGCGAGTTTCACCTATATTCAAATGAAACTGTTTGAACCATTATAAACAAAAGAAGAATACAGTTAGATTTTGCAGAATGTGATTCTATTGGACACAGTGGAGTTGGAATTCCTATTAAGAATTTTATCACGAAATGTTGTCCCCCTGCCATTTAGATCAAAGAATGGAAACCATCTCCTTGCCTACAGACCAATTTCCTTATGAAGACATGCAAGATCCCTCAGATATCAGACAGCGGAAATATACAACATTTTATTGGAAAAATTGATCAAATTTTCGACAGCTACAATAACATTTATTACTGTCAATCATGGCACTTCCTAGTGGTAGACGCAGTTTCTATTTGGAGAGCTCCCATGATGTTACTCGTTCAAAGTTTCGTGATCACGCTTGACTTGCCACCTAATGCTCATAAAACTGTGAAGGAAAAGATGAAAATCGTTCTAGTGATGTCTTTTCTATCTGCCCTATCAAGCTTGCTAGAATCAGTTGAGATATGCAAAGCAAGCATTAATGAATGAAAGAATTTTAAAAGCTGTTGACAATAGGGAGGGTTTGTGTGAGGTTTGGGGTGGGCTGAGCTTCCTATCTCTAATATAGAGCGAGCACATCAGAGGAACTGCCTTGTTTGAAGTCTGCTCCTCATTATTTCTCTATAACACAATTTACTGGGCCGCAGATCAAACACATGGCTTGTTTGTTTCACTGTCATCCACCACACTTGTCTTCACACTAAATTAATTCCGTTGAAAAAAAGAAGTCTTTTTGTCAATCTTTGACTCAGTTTAAATGCTAGAAAATTAAATTCTGTATTCCACAAAAAACTTGCTATTCTTTAATATTGAAAAGACTTAAAAGCTGTCGATACTAGTGATTATGTATAATTATATGAATCACTTGATCACTTTGACTGGGCACATTAGCACTGGGTTGAGTAGAGTAAGGGAAAATGTGAAGGGGGTTTCGACACTGACCTTGTGAAGGAAGTGGACTCCCTTATAGCCATGTGCTCATAATACAGTTCTCTTGGTATGACACGTTAGTTTGTAAATCAAATGTGAAAAAATTAACAAAAATTATACTTAATTATAAATTGGATTCCAATTGTTTTTATATAATGTACAGCTGGAGAAACCCCAATCGACAAAATAAAAAATAAATCTGTTTCTTGTTCCTTGATAATCGCCAACTGAACAAAAAGACATGTACATGTACCTATATTTTAATAATCTTGTAGATATATTCTATATGTTAAATTCAGTTTTTTCGTGATTTTAATATAAAGTGAAATGTTAGTAATGTTCCTTGTCAGATAGTACAATGTACAATGATCAATCTAAAATTTATTTCCATGGGTCCTTTTTAACTGTATTGCTAAAAACAATGGGTCCGACCATGTTAAAGTTAAATTTCAGTATTTCCAGTACAGATGTACCATCAAAATTCTGTAAGTATAGGACTCGGGACCCGTAAATAGATTTATCACTGAATGCATCGTAATGAACTAATAGACTCTGACTGTTGGTCAAATGCTTATGTACAATTTCAGATATTTTCTGTACTGAATTTTATTATAAATAGATGTTGTCAGATTTGTTTTTTCAAAAAATAATAATAAAACAATATAGCTGCCCTGGAACATAATGTACTGATAGAGTGACCAATGTAATCCTTAAGGATCCCTTTACCCCTACCAAAACTGTAACTAATTGTTGAAACTGATAGCTTTGATAAATCATTTCTGAAAAGAAAACTGTACTTTTTGTTTTGACTTTCATGCGATAAAAATTAATAAAGATAAATATCAAAATAAAAAACAAAATATTATCAGCAACAGTGTTCTGAGTGTAAAAATTCAGTGAGGCTAGATTAGGGATCAAACCCTGGATTCAGGTTGTTGTACTAACTCTATTCCGTTTTTTTCGTATTGTAGAGTTATCTGCTCTTGTGAGCAGGTATTGATTGTTACGTCATTAGTTTGTGTGAGAAAATTACTTTGTTTTCTCAAAAATTTATGACGTTACTCTCACAACCAAATGACGTAACAATCAATACCTGTTCACAAGAGCAGATAACTGCATTACAAAAAAAGACCGAACACACCGTTTGAGCTACATGTACCTGGTGAACGAAAATGTCTGGGTTAAACTGTGCTACAGTTATATCCAAGAGGAAGTTTATAAGGGGAGGTTACTGTATATACGAAAAAAACTGTGAAGTGGGACAGGGATCCTTAAAGCTTAGGGGAAATCAATTGGGATAGGGACGAGAGGCCTTTATGTCTCGGCTTAGGTAAAATTTAGAAAAGAGGAATAAAGTCAGGATATTGCTTGAGGTAAAATATGTGTCTGAGAAAGTCGTCTGAGCTCACTGATCGTTTTCATCGCACCTGGCCCCCTATTGTATCAAATATGGTACGTAATGTTAAAATGTACACAATTATTCATACAACACAAGTACATGCAGACTAGCTCTTTGATGTTTTGTTTAAATGCTTCAATTATTGGTACCGATTTGGACTTGTTGTCATATTATTTTGTTTGGTAATATAAACTTGGGAAATGTAAATGCAATTATCTTGTGATTCAGTCATGCATCACACGCATAGATCAGCCCCATCTAGCTTTAAATTAGCCGGGATAAATGATGTCTGTAACATATTCACACAGCGCTATATAATACTCAGTCTTGTGTTATAAAAACATTTGCAATACGTGTATACATGTATACATTTTTAATACGCAGAACATTTTTTTACTGTGTTATTAATTTCGTCTAGACTCGAATGTTTTGCGTAATTTCGGATGGTTTGCTCTAGCGGAACAATGCAGGTTATGACATATACAATGGTAACAGAGATCTAGAGTTGCACATGTAACCCACCCACATGTTTATGTATCTCATTCTGTTGTCCTTGAGATACAGTTTGTTTACCTGATCCAGGAAAGATTTTGCCATTAGGATTCTATAGATCTATATTGTATAATGTAAAATCATAGCATTGCATGCCGTAACTGTTTGGTATAGTGTGTTGTACAACCAAGGGTTACGTATTGTATATACCATACTAACCAAGATTAAACTCATTAGAGGCCATGTTTAATATATAAGTCTGTTACGTGAAATGAATGTTGCATTCTGCAGGATCACGGACAATATATCCTACATGTAAGCGTACTTATTTTAGCGGTATTCTAATTATAGCGACTTTCACGCTACATCTTGTCCTTTAGTTCATTTGCACAGCTAATTTAAGACAATGTAGTCCAGGCTATTCAAACCATTAAATGCAAGATAACAAGGGACATTAAATGACAACTCACCAGCATACATACTTATATTTTGTTCTGAGGTTATCACTCAATCTATCTGGCTCACTGATCAATAGGCTTTGTTCTGATACAGCCCTTAAGCTTGTTAACATCATGTTCGTTGGCATGGAGAGTCTATTGCAGAGTGCAAGATTTTCGCTATGAAGTTAGGTACAGCGAATCCGCTTAATCCGGAGTGTGCTAATGTGTCTTAACCCCTTGATTCCGCTAAAAAATGAGTGAGGTAATATAAGTAGGCTAACAGTATCTCATTATCTGTGTTTCATAGCATGATTGGTTATAAGTTAAGTACTGGTAATATGGAAATCCTTGCAAAATGTAGAGGTCCTACTCTTTGCCATCTTCTAGTTCTTGGAGACACAGAAAAACCAAAACTGATGCTCTGCCCTCATTGCCTCAAAACCTGGGATTTCCTGTATCATTTTCTCTTTCTACACTTTCTTCTTGGCAATGACTGGAGCTCAGTAGATACATGTACCTCTAGAGCTCAGTAGATACATGTAACTCTAGAGCTCAGTAGATACATGTAACTCTAGAGCTCAGTAGATACATGTACCTCTAGAGCTCAGTAGATACATGTAACTCTAGAGCTCAGTAGATACATGTACCTCTAGAGCTCAGTAGATACATGTAACTCTAGAGCTCAGTAGATACATGTAACTCTAGAGCTCAGTAGATACATGTACCTCTAGAGCTCAGTAGATACATGTAACTCTAGAGCTCAGTAGATACATGTACCTCTAGAGCTCAGTAGATACATGTAACTCTAGAGCTCAGTAGATACATGTACCTCTAGAGCTCAGTAGATACATGTAACTCTAGAGCTCAGTAGATACATGTACCTCTAGAGCTCAGTAGATACATGTAACTCTAGAGCTCAGTAGATACATGTACCTCTAGAGCTCAGTAGATACATGTAACTCTAGAGCTCAGTAGATACATGTACCTCTAGAGCTCAGTAGATACATGTAACTCTAGAGCTCAGTAGATACATGTACCTCTAGAGCTCAGTAGATACATGTAACTCTAGAGCTCAGTAGATACATGTACCTCTAGAGCTCAGTAGATACATGTAACTCTAGAGCTCAGTAGATACATGTACCTCTAGAGCTCAGTAGATACATGTAACTCTAGAGCTCAGTAGATACATGTAACTCTAGAGCTCAGTAGATACATGTACCTCTAGAGCTCAGTAGATACATGTACCTCTAGAGCTCAGTAGATCATGCAGTTGTCAGGATAATGTGACTAGGGAAAGTTTGCTGCCTCGTCCAAGTTACAATATATTGTTGTGATGGCACTTTTAACTCATCATTCATCCCTGATATTTCATGATGAACTAATCCAACCTTTGAATTGGAAGGGTTCAAATGTGTCTTCGGAGGTGAATGAGTTAACTGGCCCTTGAGTCATCTGTCCACCAGTCTGTGGGCACCATATATATATCTTCATGCATTGTATTACCACAGGTTTAACCAATCAAACCCTAAATAGTTATTACAAGCAAACAAACTTAACATTTCAAAACAGATATTGTAGGAAGTTCATTATCTTCCATTTTCTTTTTTGGAAATTTCAATAGAATATATTTGTTTTGTTTCCGATAAAGTTTCGGAAATTTTTGGTCTCATGATCATGACCACAAAATAAAAATGCATCGTTGCCCAATAAACCATGTTCCTGCCAAAAATTGAGTCATGAGTCTGTTGAATTTGAACTCGCTTTTAATCCACAGAGCTAAAGTGCGGAATGGATTAAAGATTACAGGCGCTATAGCAGAGGCGGATGGACCCTGGCAGATCCATGTGGATATCAACGAACGACAGCGAGTCGGAACAGTTACCGCCCGGATACATGACATTGCAAAGTACTTGGCTTCCGACAAGTGAGTACATATGTTCTCCCTATTACAGACCTTTATCAAATTACTTATTGTTTACAGGGAAACTTTTCCGCAGTCAGACTTTCACCCGTCACTGGTAAAATTCACATTCCCCCAGTGTTAAATTCACCTTTCTCATATAAAGACAATGTATAGTACGGTGTGTACAGTATTAATATTCGCTCTCATGATAAATTCTCCCTCAAAACGTATGGCCATAAAAAGGCAGAAGTTAAACTGCTGCAAAAATTTCTCTGTGTACATAATCATGTTCAAGTAATGTTATTTTATTTTTCAGTTATTAGATGCCAACCCTTTGTCTTATTGCAGGACAAAAAGTAATATAAGTAATAATATAGGGCTCTGGAAGCAAGAGTATCTACTTTTACTATATAGGAGGTAAATTCTATCCTGTTTCCAATGAGGCCATATTCAAATACTATAACCTTTTTGTCTATGACAGCAAAATTCTAACCTTTGAGCCAGTTTGCATCAATGTTGACTGGCCCACTGGGCAAGCTTATAGTTAACCTATCAATCCCAGATGGAGGAAAAGGGGTTTAGGTATCAGTGAAATCAGAAACCACACAGTCCAGTGCTTCCAAGAGATAATTTTCAGTAAATTTGTCTAAAAGCAGTACGATTTTAGACACATTCTGTTTCATCAGGAGAATCAATTAAATTCAAGTATCAATGAGTTTCTGTGTCCTCTTTTCTAAATTTCAAGGCGTAGTCACAACATGATATAGGGAAATGTGTGTTTGACCTCATTAGCTATTCAGGAATGCGACATACATCTGTACTAAAATATTTATATACTGTTAGGATGAAGGTGATACTGTCATTAGTGTGTAGACAAAGACAAGGCCCTGTACTCAGTTTCAATGTTGTATTTAAAACACTTTGAGAAACTTAAAACTATATTTTAAAAAGTGTCATGTAGATGAGAGTTTACAACTATATTTTAAAAAGTCTCATGTAGATGAGAGTTAAACCAAAAAAAGGAGAAGAAATAGATCGTTCAGTTAAAGAGATAAAATTCCTTTTCAGAATCTCTTTGTTTAAAAAAGAAAAAAGGAGATGAAAAAAGCAGGATGTATGTTCAGTTCATGCAGATTTATGGCTTAAAAAGCATCACCGCAAAAAAAATGTTTTAAATCCTTTTTACTATGTTTTAATGAACAGCTTTGAGAGTATATGTGTGTGAAATGTTAAAAAATTTGTCAAAGGTTATTACAAAATAATCTGTATTTATGCAAGCAATGCACATGCACTGTGACAGGTGTTTTTGTATATGAAAGAACACTATGTTATATATAGCTGTTATTCCTTGTAAACATATCCGGCTGTTCCCTGTTCCTCAATCTGGTTTTTGTATAAATAAAAAAAAGGGGTGTGATGAATTGACTTCATAAGATCTGTGCTTGCAACCTCGCCTTTAGTACTGCATGTGATAGACTGCTAATTGTCTGTACATGTGTTTTCAGGGAAACATAAGGTGTTGTGTGGGTTCTTGGCCTAACATAACATCCTATAGACCAATCTTGTACTAAAACTTTGTAGTCCCTTGATGCCAGCCGCAGTTTCCTCCTCAACATCATCCAATTGGCTCTAGTGCCTAATAACAGCTGGGTGAGGTTCTCATATTTTGATAAGCTTACAACTGGTTTGTCAAAGAAAAAATGTTATCTGAAATGTTCGACTAATTAGTGATTTCTTTAAGAAAAGTCTACATATGAATTTGGGGTCAATAGGTACTAAATGCAAAATTATTTGTCTTAGAAATGTTTAAAGCAATGAATAATTGGAAAATGGTTTTTTTAACCTACAATGTAATGTAAAGCTTAGGATAATTTATAAAGTCTGAATTGGATTTAGTAAAGGGTGTTCCTTCTTGACAATACTTCCGCGGCAACCTTTATTTTTATGTGAAGCAGAATTACTTTATATGATGAAGAGTGTAAACTAAATCTGGTTAGAGATGTAGGTTTATTATGCCAGTTTCATCGTTCGAGATAGTAAAACTTTTTTTTGAAATCTTTTTTAAACCTAATGCTTCTCATTAGAGTCGTTAACTGTCAACATGTTGGTTCCTTCAATCTAAGTTACTACTTCTGGTATTCCAGAGCTAAGTTACCTTTACTACTTTAACATTCCACCCGAGACAAATTATCTCTCACTTACAAAGTGTTGCAAATAACTGAAGTTTGTTTTTCATGAGAAGAAATTTTTATGGAAGCAAAATCAATGTTTATACTGTTTTCGATCCTGTCTTTTTATCTTTTTCTTTAATCAGTTGTTTTGAGAACAGCTCCTTGAAATGTTTCGTTTTGTTAAGAGCATTCATTTTGAAAAAAAGTGTGCTGTTTATATTTAGGCAATTCATTTTATTTTGTTACTATTTTCATTTTGTTGAGATATTCAATTTGTGAAGATATTCTTTTTTATTAAACTTAATTAGGTGGATTTTTAGCCCACCATCATCTGATGGTGGGCTATTCAAATCACCCTGCGTCAGTGGTCTGTTGTCCGTCTGGTGTCCGTCCGGTGTCCGTCCGTAAACAATTCTTGTTATCGGTATTTCTCAAGAAGTACTAGAGGGATCTTTCTCAAATTTTATATGCAGGTTCCCCTTGGTCCATAGCTGTGCAGGGCAACTTTTGAGACTGATCAGATAAACAACATGGCCGACAGGCAGCCATCTTGGATTTTGATAGTGAAAGTTTGTTATCGCTATTTCTCAAGAACGACTAGAGGGATCTTTCTCATATTTTATATGCAGGTTTCCCTTGGTCCTTAGCTGTGCAGGGCAACTTTTGAGACTGATCAGATAAACAACATGGCCGACAGGCAGCCATCTTGGATTTTGATAATGAAAGTTTGTTATCGCTCTATCTGGGGAAGTATCAGAGGGATCTTTCTCAAATTGTATATGTAGGTTTGCCTTGGTCCTAAGCTGTGCAGGGCAACTTTTGAGACTGATCGGATAAACAACATGGCCGACAGGCAGCCATCTTGGATTTTGATA